GGACAGGACAAGAAGTAACAGTTGGGAAATCATTAAAAAGATCCAGGCAAGAACTTAGGGGAAATTTCCTGTCAGTAGGAACAATTAATCAATGGCTTGCTTCCAGAAGTTGTGAGGGCATCATTATTGGAGGTTTTTAAGAAGAGATTGATTACAGGCATTTTTCCAGAATTGTATACGCCAAGGGTGTCAAACTTGTTATCGTCACGGGACATATCACAAATCTTTTCCTTTACTAAAATGGGTGCGGGCTGCAAGTTTGAAACCCCTGGTATAGGGTCTCCTGATTTAAGCAGAGGGTTGGTCTAGAAGACCTCCAAGGTCCTTTCCAATTCTGTTGTTCTGCAATCTATAAAGTAACCAGCTTCTAGTGGGTAAGAAGATCACACAATATTCTTAAGATTAAAATTGGCCATGACACAGATTTATTTATTGTACATAGTGCATACTGAATACAGACTTATGGTGATTTAAAATATTGTTGCTGAGTCTCAAACCAGCAACCTTTACTAACAAGCCAAGATCACAACCACTTTTGTGGTTTAGTAGTAGCGAATTCAGAAAGCTTCTGCCAATCACTTTACTTTCCAAAAAGTAAAAGATAACTGAAGAACAAGCAAAAACTGCTAACCAAAAATCTAACAGGATTTTCCCACTAAAGAGGAAAAAATGTTATTCTAGCTTAGAATTATGGAGAGAATAAGAATTGAAGACTATAGAGAACAAATGTTTAAATCAGTTAACTACTATTTATGTTATCCACAAGCATCAATTCTTGACCATGCTATTTTCAAATAGAGGTAGTCCTCAAATTCATTTAGTGACCGTTTTGAAGTTGCAAACAGCACTGAAAAAAGTCATTTATGACCATTTTCAAACAACCATTGCAACATCCCCATGGTCACGTGATCAAAATTCAGCCGCTTGGCACGTGGTTCATATTTATGATGGTTGCAGTGTCCCAGGGTCACATGATCCCATTTTATGACAACCAAATTCAATCTGGAGGCCAGATTCACTTAATAACCATGTTACTAACTTAACAACTACAGTGATTTACTTAACAACTGTGGCATGAAAGGTTGCAAAATGGAGCAAAACTCACTTAACTGCCTTCCTTAGCAACATAAATTTTGGACTCAATTGTGATGATAAGCCGAGGACTATCTATCATGAGAATTGGACCCACACAAAAAGAAGAGGAAATCTCTCTAAGGAAGATTTGTGCACAGCAGATGAGGGGAAATTGCGTACTTGTCATTTACAAAGGAATACATAAGCAGCCGTTCCTCTATGAATTTCTTCCACTCTGGTTTCTCATTCTGAAGGTCCCGGTAATTGTCATTGGACACAATAATGCCATCAGACTCATAGGCCAACTTCAATATAAAGCGGTCATCATAGCAGACGACTCGTCTCCCTTGCACTCTCCGTGACGGGGTGAAAACAAGAATTTTTTCCTTCTCCAATCTGTGCAAGATTTCTTGGTCTGCAAAATTGGATTTACATAAGAATGTTAAGATCAAGGTATTTGGATAAAGAGCATTTATTACGCTTTGTCACTGTTGGCAGTTATATAACTATAGGGATTAATGTGACCCATTTGGTTCATTGACTTTATTTAATTCTTTTAGTTCAGGATTCCATAACTTTTTTTCAAGTTCTAGATCACACTTGGATTTAAAAATAAAAAGTAGGCTTGAATTTATTTATATTTAAACTTAGTTAATACTTTATACATTATGTATGCAATCATGTTTCAGTTTCTCACATCAAAACAAGTACTTTTTGACAAGATAATTTTCTCTGGGGCCATACCCAAAGTTTTGAGAGCTCGTGTAGCAGACCAGTGGCTTAGTTGCTATGGAATCTAAGTTACATTTAAGGATTCCAAAAGAATTTTACAGAATTTACATATATTTATATATTTAACATTTCCAGTTCATATCACAGTCATCATTTCCCCACGCTATTAAGTTTTTGTCATAATATATATAATATTTTTAAGAAGATATTAAGGGTGACTGGGTGGGTGTGGCTTGCTGATTGGGCATGGCTTGGTTGTCACATGATTGGCTGGAGTGGCTTGGTGGTCATGTGACTGGGTGGGTGTGACCAACTCAATGTCACTAACATCAAAGGATGCCTCGCCTGGCCCCTCCCCTCCCAGCCATTCCTTGTCACACCCAGTCTCAACTTATCTATAGTTCTGTAAAAATGTTGTTCATCTTTTTTTGACTTTATTATCTACATACTATAGATGTACTTTCTTGGACCACTGAAAGGAGGAAATGGCTCACATGCTTTGCTCAAGAGTGTGAAATAGGCAAGAGGCTTTTAAGGGGCTGCCAGAAAGAGGAGAGGGGGGCAATGTATTTTCCAAAGGACCAGAAGGCAAGCAAGAAGCAATGGATGGAAACTGAACAAAGAGAGAAGCAAACTAAGACTAAGGAGAAACTTCCTGACAGAAGTGGAACTGCTTGCCACTAGAAGTTCTGGATGCTCCAACACTGGAGGTTTTTAAGAAAACAGCCATTTCTCTGAAACGGTAGGGTTCCCCCCAAGGTCCTTTCTAAGCGTTATTTTGTTATTCTGACACCTTTCCCAGGACCTCTGCTAAGAGTTTGGCATCCTCAGTTTTCCTGCCTCAGCAGGAGGTTGGACTAGAAGACCTCCAAGGTCTCTTTCAACCTTGTTAAACACACATGTATTTATGCCTCTGGACTATAGACATTGAATGCATGTATTGTAAACCTTGAAAAATACCTGGGAAAAAGAAAGGCAGTAAAATCACTCTAGGTATAGGGACAGTGTAAAATATTAATATATGATAAATAATGGAACAATTAAAATAATAGCACAGAGTTTTCTCTCTCCCCCCCCTTCCTATTTTTTTCTTTCTTCCTATTTCTCTCTCTCTCTCTCTCTCTCTCTCACACACACACACACACACACACACACACGCACACCTGGTCTGGGATGAACCGAATGACCCTGTGAGCTCCAGATAGCAGCGGGCGGTGGGAAAAGGAAGAAAGGAGGGGAGGCATGCGGTGGTGGCGGGGCCATGGAGCACCCCAAGCCCTCCGGTACGGTACAGTACCTCTGTCTGCAGGTGTCGGCGGCATCAGCAACAAAACGAAAGAAAGCGGGTGGGGGGAGATGACGGCCGCCTCCGCCTGCTTCCTTTCATTTTGCTCCTGGTAGAGGCAGCAGAGGCAGCTGGGGCAGTGGTGGCAAAATGAAAGGAAACAGGTGGAGGTGGCAGAGGAAGCAGAGGTCACCTGCAGTGATGGCGCTTCTTACGGGAGGTAGCTGCCTCTGCCCGCTTCCTTTCATTTTGGCCCGGTAGAAGCAGCAGAGGTGGTTGGGGCGACGGCAGCAACATGAAAAGAAGCAGGTGGAAGTGGCAGAGGCGGCAGAGGTGCTGCAGTGATGGCGCTTCTTACGGGAGGCTGCCACATGGTAGGGAGAGCTGGGAGAGTGCCGTGTGGCAGTTTAGGCAACCAGCCGAGCCCAGGGATTGGGGGGGGGGCAGTTAGGGAGGCCCCAGTCAGTGCCACCAGCGGGATGGGGCCCACCCCGGTGGGGAAGCCGGCCAGTCAAGCCCGGGGATGGGGGGCAGGTAGGCAGGCTGGGCGAGGCTCAGGTAGCCCCGAAGATGGCTGCGGGAGGCCTGTGGAGCTCCGGAGATGGCTGTAGGAGGCCCAGGGACAGTGGGGAAGGGGCTAGTGTGACTCACAGGCTTACCTGTGAGCAGACAGGAGCTGTATCCCGAAGAGAGGGGCCGTGGACTTTCAAGCTTTTTGTTCCGCTGCAGCGGAAGGCAGGCAGCAATGGCTGGCCTGGTGGGCAGGCAAAAGCAGACTGCAGGCATGTCACGCATGCGCATGATGTTGCACATGCGCGATAGGGACTGACTGGGCAGGGAGCGGAAAAGTGGGTGAAGAGGGGCAGGGCCAGCCAGAGGCCCGATTTACTGGTTCTCTGAACTACCGGGAACCGTAACAACTGGTTCTATAGAACCGGGCCGAACCAGTAGAATCCCTGTCAGAGTCTGAATCTGAGGAGAAAGACAAACAGCTCACAGGGAGTGGGAGTGTGACTCCGTTGGCTGTGGAGGAAACTGGAGAAGGACAAAGTCTGGCTGGAGTTCAAAGGAAGACCCAGCCCCACCCCCTCTTCATCCTAGGGCATGCAGAGAGGAATGGAGAAGAGAGCAACATGCGTTGTGTGGCTTATGGGGGAGGAAAGGGCCCTGATTCCCTTCATCAGCCACAGCTGTGAAGAGAGTTTAAAAGGAATGCATGCTGAGTGCAGCAGCTGCTGGGAGCAAACGTGAGTTTATCTTTGCTTATCTGTGTTCCTGGCATCTTCCCAACCGTGTTGAGTTATTGCTGTGCTTTCACATCTGGAATTCTTGCTCCTGTCCTGTCGGAGTAATTACCTCATTTTGCCTTGATTATAGTTACAGTTTTTGTTGACTACATTTTGGGCTTGATTCTCTGCAGCCAAAGGCTGTTCCTGGGAGAGTTTTTCTCCAGCCAGAAGGTAACCAGGACATTGAGGGCAAAGTTGGAGCTAATAAAGGGATTCCCATTGATTATCTGACTGTGTTGCCTTTGTGCCATGCCCCAGGTCATCACAGCCTGCCATTTCTTGAAAGTTTGCTTCTTTTCCTGCACTTTCTCCTGCACTTATTCAGTCCACAGCCACACTTGTTTGTCAATCTAATGGTGACCTGATGTCTCTGGCAGTGGTAATGACAGAGTCACAGAGTGTTGACTAGGTAATGTTATTTGTGGCAGCACTGACAGATGTGAATACGATTTTTCTGGTCACTGCTTCTTTGTGTGTAACTTCCACCATTTGATCCTCTCGGGGCCTGTGGTGCTGTTCATTTTCTTATGGCCTTTTATTTTCAGATCTGTAACTTGTGTAATTTGTAATTGGTGTTGTGGGGCAAGAACATCAGAAGGCATAACCTCGGTATTGCATACCATGGGAAGGTCACGTCTTCTCAAAAGAATAAAATCGATCTGACTATTTCCGCCAAAAAGTAATGAGTTGGTCTGGATGTTTATTGAAAAATGTGTTGCAGATCATGAGATTCTTTGATTCTGCAAAATCCAGGATTTGAAATCCATCTTGGATTTCCATAACCTTTGTTCCCAATTACTTCCCATATGACCATTCAAGTCACCGCAGAGGAGCAGCAGATCTTCGGAGCAGGCACATTCCAGAACTGATCCTTGGTGTCCTTATCAAGTCCTGTTTGTGGGCATAAGCCACCTGGAGTCGATAGGTGGTTGTATCAATGGTGACAGACATGAGGCGGTCGGAGTGTCTCTGGACCTCAGGCACGTAGCTACATAGATCTTTGCTCACGACAACAGCAACACCATAGTTGTTGGAAGTGTATTAGTAAACCAACTTGTAACCTTCTCCAATGTCTTTGGATTTCTGTCCCTTCCATCTGGTATCCTGAAGGCATCCCCTATGTCAATATGGTGGTATTTCAGAATTTTGGCTAGCTCGCGGCTACATTCAGTCAGTGTTCTTATGTTGAGAGTGGCGATGCACAGTGGTTTTGGCTTCTTTTGGGCTAGCTTCTTTAACCAGTCCCGCTCCTGAACCAGAAGCCCTTGTCCATTTTTCACATTGGTTGGGCGGGACCAGTGGTGCGTCACCTTTGCTGTTTCTAGGGCAGCCCCCTGGGCCAGATAAAAGCACCCGGCAGACTAGACACACCTGCCCTAGTAGCTTCGATCCATTTGTTGCAACAAAATTTCCAAGTGGCCTGTCACCCAGGCTTGCTTGTGCCCAACATATTCGTTCTGCTTTTAATAATAAAAGGTTTTCCCTGTCCAATTGTTTCGGCCTCTAGAGGGTGGCTGCTAATCTCAGTTTCTTAGCCAAGGGAACCAGCGTTGTCCGAAGACCCTTCCGTGGTCATGTGGCCAGCATGACTATACGCTGAGGCACATGGAATGCTGTTACTTTCCCACCAAAGTGATAGATATTAATCTACTCACATTTGCATGCTTTCGATCTGTTAGGGGGCATAAGAGGGGTTTAATAAGCTTAAATTAAATTTACTGAAATGAAATCAGGAGGGAAAAAGAGTGATGATGAAAATGCACATGGGTTTTCTCCAAATCACTGGGACTTCTATTCAACAAAACCCTTAAAAAATCCAGAATTCATTGTCATCTTCTTTCACTAGATGGTGCTTTGCAAAATTAGCTCCTCTGTCAAGTGAGCAGCAACATTTCCATCTAGAGAAACATATGAACGGGGAATTTTAAAGAACAGCAAAAAAAAAAAGTGTTTAAAAAGAACCCTAGACTACAGCTTTCAGAACCTCAAGATATTATAATGCTTGTCTTTCACATTTGGAGTCAAGATAATGGAGCCATTTTCATCCTCACAGCAAGGCTCTTAGCAACGAATGGTATTTAATACAGTGACGGGAGCCATGATTTTTCTGGTTCGTAGAGTGGGCCTCAAAAGCCCCCCCTTCAATCCCCAAGTAAGAGACAGGATGAGACTAAATCCTTCCAGCGTCTCTTTCTTTCCTACTAGGACGCCACCAATACTCTGACAATTCCTTTTCCCCCAAGAGGATTTGCCAGGGGAAGCTGACCGAAGCTATGAGTGAAGTTATGAAATACTAAAGCTACTTCCCCAAATGATTAATAAATTCCTCCAGCAATTAGCAGAATTTTCTTTGAACACAGAATCCCTCCCCCCTTGGTTGTCCCCTTCCTTAATTCCATTTTGGTTTCCAGAAAAAAATCAGTCGGGGGGGACGGGGGACGGACAGACCCTGATGCTACTACACTTGTGTTAATTTATATCCCACTTTTGACAGGGCTCACAGTATATTAAAAGTGAGTGACTGTTCAAATTGCAACGGCACTGAAAAAAGTGAGTTATGACCATTTTTCACACTTACGATGGTTGCACATCCCATGGTCACATGATCAAAATTCAGATGCTTGGCAACTGGTTCATATTTAGGACGGTTGCAGTGCCCTGGATTCGTGTGATCTGCTTCTGCAACCTTCTGACAAGCAAAGTCAATTGGGAAGCCAGATTCACTTAACAACCTTGTTACTAACTTAGCAATTGCAATTATTCACTTAACAACAGTGGCAAGAAACTCATAAAATGGAGCAAAACTCACTTAACAAATGTTTTACTTAGCAACAAAACCATTGGGCTCAATTGTGGTCATAAGTCGAGGACTACCTGTATAAAGTGGAAATGATCTTAAGCAAATTGAGCATTCAATACGCTAGAATACAAAATAAGTACCAATCAACTCACGTGGTTCAAAACATTCCTCCCTGCAAGCATTAATATAGCCCATAAGATTTAAATGGTTATGCACATTTTTTTCTATTATATTCTGCAAAAATGATATGCAAATACCCTCCATTATAATAGATAGAGCAGGGGTATCAAACTCAATTTCATGAGGGCCGCATCAGGATTGTGGTTGAACTTCAGGGGTCCGGGGTGGGCATGCCCGGGGTGTGGTGTGGCCATGGTGGGCGTGGTGGATGTGGCCAGCTCTCACTGCTGCTGTGCTCGCTCTCCTTGGCTCATGGTGTGCGCAGGAGGGCAAAGTGTGTGGGTCAGAGGGAGGCCCACTCCATCTCCTTACCAGGAACCCGGCTTTGTAACCAAATCATCCTCATTGATAAGATGGGAGACCACCAGGAGAAGTCAGGAGGAGGGGACAAGGGGATGGCAAAAGGCAGCGGGGCTGCTGGTAGCCAACTGCTAAGGCAAGATTTACCTCAGACCTTCACTCTCTCTCATTATAATCTCCTTCCTTCCTTCCGTCCGTCCATCCTTCCCTTCTTTATCCTTCCCTCTTCATTCTCCTTTCTTTCTTCTTCCTTCCCCTTTTTCCTTCTTTTTCTTTGTCTTTCCTGTCCTTTCTTGGATACTCAAATGCAAAAGGTGAAACATTCCTCGCCTTGTGATCAAATGTCACTTTTGCTAATAATGTGTGGCCACTTATAAGACTGAGAACAAACTAGGTTCAGTTTATCCCATGCTTGCATTTCGTGGGGGCGTCCACAGACTACAGTACAGCAAAACCGTCAAAATGATGGCTCCGATAGTTGATCAGAGCTCCTGTTTTTTTATGTGCAACAGCTTTAGCATTTAAGAACAGAAATAAGTTAGTTGCTTTTCTATTAATACATAATCCTTAAAAGGGCTCTCTTGTAGGGACCCTGTAGCAAAGGAAAATATTTTTCCCTACTTGCTTCATCCTGTTTTCTCACCCAAGGAGGGGATAATTTCCCAAGAGCTCACAATTCAAGAATACCAATGTGCACATGAGGCATCTCTCACGGTGGGGAAGGACGTGGGGTGCCCTCAAGGCCTCTTCAACCCACTAAGATACCTCATGCTTCTCCCCTCCCCTTCCTGCCACAAGGACTCGCTTACCTTGCAACCATCTGTCACCTCTTTATGTTTCTCTGTTCTTTGCCTCAGAGGAAGGGAGAGGAGATTTGGCTTGGAAACGCTTTTCGTGCCGAGAATGGACACTCCTGGGTGCTATAATCAAACGGCTGGTGTGATCTGCTGTCGTTGGGACGGGGGTGGGTGGGAGTTGCCCCCCCCCCAAAATTTTGTTCTATTGTACTTTACTAATTTATTTGATTCTTTTTGTTAGTTTTTATTGTTCTTTATTTTGATTTTTTGCTTTTAAATATGATTTTACATTGTGTAAGCCGCCTCAAGTCGCCATGGGCGAATAGGCGGCAATATAAATTAAATAAATAAATAAAATAATGTCGTGCAGATTCAGGCAGCCATTCCTCTTTTGCAGAGAGTCAGGGACCCAGAAACTTTCAATCTCGGTGCAAAAAGTGTTTCCTGATCTCCTGTTCCTTCCACACACACACACACACACCCCAAAAAAACTTGTTTCCACTTAATGAGACCTTGTTGTCCCCATGGAGCACAGCTGCGTGCAAATGGGGGAGGGGGAGAGACAGAAAGAGAGAGCAATCCAATGCAATCTCTGTGTGTGAGTGTGTGTGTGTGTGTGTGTGTGTGTGTGTGTGTGTGTGTGTGTGTG